GATGAAGGGGACGCACCCGCAACGGTTATTGACGATAATCAAACGTCGCAACAGCAGTCCTGGGAACAGCAGGAGAATTCGGACGAGACGCTCCAAAACGAGTACTCGTTCAAAGACGAAGACGTTCCAGCTATCTTCGAGACCCTTCTCGAAAACAACAAAATCCAGCTCCCGCCCATCATGAATCAGGAGGAAGCTGACGATTCTGCGGATCCAACGTACTGCGCATACCATAGGAGGATCCTTCACCCCACCAAGGCTTGCTCTACTTTAAAGAATAGCATCCAAACCTTGGTTGAAGCCGGCGTTATAACGCTAGGGTAAGCCAATTTACTCCGAAAAGTATACGAGTATAAACTGCTTCTTAATACTCCGAAAAGTATACGAGTATAAACTGCTTCTTAATACTCCGAAAAGTATACGAGTATAAACTGCTTCTTACTCCGAAAAGTATACGAGTATAAACTGCTTCTTACTCCGAAAAGTATACGAGTATAAACTGCTTCTTACTCCGAAAAGTATACGAGTATAAACTGCTTCTTAATACTCCGAAAAGTATATGAGTATAAACTGCTTCTCAACCCTCCAATCGGTATATGAGGTTAAACTGTTCCCTGATACTCCAATAGGTATATGAGTCTAAACTATTTCCTACCATTAACGGGAAGTTCCTGGAGGATATTACACTAATATTCTTAAGGATAACCCGGTCAGGTAACAAAGTCAAACCCAGTTCCAAGAGAGAAGCTGGGGGTGGATAATCCAATGCATCGGGAAGTTCCCGGAAGAATACCACATGGGTATTCTTAGGGATAACCCAATCATTGTGGAATTGGTGAATAAGAAATTCACGTTCGAACCCTAGGTCAGAATGTCTCTTCTTATTCTCTAACTCTTAGAAGTTATTTTTGTGAGATGAGACCCAATCCTCTGATAGGTTAATCTTTCCTCACCAAACCATCCGCTGATCAAATTAAGCGACAGGGGATCCACCAACGTTTCCATTTCGATGCTCGGAGTGGAGAACCCACTCCCAGTTCATCATTCCGGATTCTGGGGGTGGGGGATCCCACCTCAAGTTCCCTTTCCAGCTGTAGATAGAATATAAAATTCTTCCTCTTCAGCACCGGGAGATAGAATATAAAATTCTTCCTCTCCCGTTTCTCAATCTGTCTTTGCTTTTAGAAAAGACACGATTGTCAAATCCGGGCACTCGATGCACGGGGAATTTTATCCCGAAGCCTGAGTAGGGATAAGTCAACGCCTAACACGCGTTGCCGGGTAGTCTATTCCCGTGAGAAAGACGAAGTCTACGTATTCAATATCGTAGCACTAAAAGGGTTAACTCTTTTAGCTTAAATGTCACATGGGAGCGGACTTAAACAATCCGTATACTAGCCCGACTCAAACGGTAGTCGGTAAAGGCTAATCAAATCCGTTGAAGGCTGGGGATTAGCCAAAAATCCTAAAGTCAACGCCTAACACGCGTTGCCGGGTAGTCTATTCCCGTGAGAAAGACGAAGTCTACGTATTCAATATCGTAGCACTAAAAGGGTTAACTCTTTTAGCTTAAACGTCACATGGGAGCGGACTTAAACAATCCGCATGCTAGCCCGACTCAAACGGTAGTCGGTAAAGGCTAATCAAATCCGTTGAAGGCTGGGGATTAGCCAAAAATCCTAAAGTCAACGCCTAACACGCGTTGCCGGGTAGTCTATTCCCGTGAGAAAGACGAAGTCTACGTATTCAATATCGTAGCACTAAAAGGGTTAACTCTTTTAGCTTAAACGTCACATGGGAGCGGACTTAAACAATCTGTATACTAGCCCGACTCAAACGGTAGTCGGTAAAGGCTAGTCAAATCCGTTGAAGGCTGGGCATTAGCCAAAAAATCCTAAAGTCAACGCCTAACACGCGTCGCCGGGTAGTCTATTCCCGTGAGAAAGACGAAGTCTACGTATTCAATATCGTAGCACTAAGAGCGTTAACTCTCTTAGCACGACGTCACATGCGGAACGGACTTAAACAATCCGCATGCTAGCCCGACTCAAACGGTAGTCGGTAAAGGCTAATCAAATCCGATTGACGCACCAGCTCCACTAGTTGGTCTCGTGACTTGAGCATCCAACAAATTCAGGACAAAATCCATACATGCAGACGAATCAACTTTAACAGTTGGTCCTGCAGCCCCTACATTTGAGACCACTATGCTCCAATACCTTAAGAGCTTAAACTGTGTATACTCCAGCAGACGTACGAGTATAAACTGTGTTAATGTCGATCCGTAAACCCTAGGGTCAACGCCGGTCAACGCGTAACCCTAGGTCAACGCCAGTCAACGCGTTGCAATCAGAGTCAACGTGCGACGATCCAAAACCCTAAGGGTCAACGCCGGTCAATGTGTAACCCTAGGTCAACGCCAGTCAACGCGGTGCAATCAGAGTCAACGTTCGACGATCCAAAACCCTAAGGGTCAACGCCGGTCAACGCGTAACCCTAGGTCAACGCCAGTCAACGCGTTGCAACCAAAGTCAACATTCGACGATTCGAAACCCTAAGGGTCAACGCCGGCCAACGCGTAGCCCTAGGTTAACGCCGGTCAACGCGTAACCCTAGGTCAACGCCAGTCAACGCGTTGCGACCAAAAAGTCAAAGTTTGACGCTCGAAACCCTAGGGTCAATGTCGGTCAACACGTAACCCTAGGTCAACGCCAGTCAATGCGTTGCGACAAAAAGTCAACATACTGTGATCCGAAACCCTAAGCCAGCATAATGTGGCGAAGGTAGTTCAAAGTCAACTCAATGACACGAGCCAAATTCAATTCATCAGCTGCAGACTCGAGACTCCGACGACGGCCAGACGATAAACGCAGCGCCGGAAGAACCTCGGCTCTTCCAAGAGTTGAAGCTAACCACAGGTCCTTATGCCGACTGAAGGCTAGACCAATCACATCCAAAGTATTCCAGCCTCTTCTATAAAAGAAACGAGTCTGGAACACTTTGGAGGGGGTATCTGTAGGCATCGAAAATTGCCTATAGGTCTCCACAAACGGTTCAGTGTTAAAGAGCGACGATGAACATCACCATCCGATCCACAGGAGCCCAATTGATGTCGATGAATGACTGAAGTGAGTCGGTGAGCTACGTGAGCTTACATGATTTCGGAACAACCAAGACCCGGACCAATCGGGAACCCGGTACTGTTCACAAAAAGGACAACGCCCCTCGTGCCTCGACCACTCTACAGATAATCCAACCACCAGAGCGGTTCCGAGACACCCCAAGGGGTGTCCTCACTTTTTGATGCCCCCCCCTCTTGGTTTCCTATAAATAGGACCCCCTTACCTCATTTGGAAGGGGGAGGATTTTTGGAGAGCCTTGGCGAAGCCCTGCTGCAGTGAAGAGTGGCCGTGAGCTTCAACAAGAAGAGGAGAGGTCTTGATCAGAGCCTTCATCACCCGTCCGAGCCTTAGTATTAGCCTTTAGCGTTAATACTAAGAAGAGCTAATACCTCGCTTTAGCCGAGGTATACGCTTATAGCTTCTAGATCTCACGCGGTTCGATGAAGTTCTGCTTCTATATCCTTCCGCGGATAGACGAAGCTCTGCCCGATTTTCTCGGAGCGGATCTGATTGCCCGGTGGTCCACGGATATCAACGTCCCCGTCACAGGCCAAAGACCCACGCAAGCAAGAGATGACAAACAGCTCTTGCGTTTGTTTGAAAGGAGTTGCATTTCTTTTGTTTTCATTGTGTATCGGTCTTATAAAAAGGCTATCTTTTTGTTTCATTGTAACGATCGAAGTTGTAATGAATGCAGCAATGAATACAACGACTTTTTCCGCAAACAACTACCATTTCACTGAACGAAGCCTAATGGATAAAGCTATACAAGAGGGGAAATTCCTTGAATCTGCATCAGTACATGGTAATCTTTATGACTGGCCAAATACATGAATTCGACAACTACCTGTGTAATTTAAGTGAAATCATTGGCAGCTAATCATTGACAATACAACATTATGTTAGCATATTTCGTAGGATATGTATTTTGATGGTAGTTCTAATTTCAATCAAATAGTTCTTATCAAAGTCTTTGGCTATTTAAAAGTTTGTAGCCATGATGTACCGAATCTTACCTTGAGACTATTTGGGGTTGACACGCCCCTCATAAAAAGAGCAAAATAGGCTACTTGGAACAGAAGTGGTAGCTTGGAGTAAGGGAGTCAGAGGCAGTGGCCTAAAGCCAATTGTAATCAGTGACCCCTCATGAGTCGGCAAGGAAACAATGATATCAAAGCTAATGAAAGAATACTACCCCTCAATGTTTGGGTTTTCTGTAAGCCACACAACTCGAGCTCCGAGAGAGAAAGAAGTCAATGGGGTTCACTACCATTTCACCGAATGAAGCCTAATGGAGAAAGCTATACAAGTTCTTAGTGTTCATGAATAGATTGTTGTTTCTGTTGTGATTCTTGTAGAGTTTCACTTAATGTTTAATTTGCTCGAGGAATTTAGGAATAATTGCTAATAGAATCCAATTTGAGCCTCTTTTGAAGTTTTTTGTGGGTTATGGGTTAACTTTAAAAGGAAAATGTGGGTAATTTTTGGTTGTAATCTTGGTAGAGTTTAAATTAGATGTAAAGAATTAATGCTAGCTTGATCTGCATTGTTAATCCATGAGTTAATAGCTCAGTGATTGGTTTTTCACATAAACACTCTCAAATTTAAAGTAAAATAATGTGGGGGTGAAATGTTTCTTGATATTTACATGTTAAGTGGTATCATGCACCAATTAATTTATAATTTCTTGATGTTGTCACCTATTATAGTGGTATGATATTTAGTTTTGAATCGATGTAAAATTGAGCATTTTGTTGAGTTTTCCCAAAAACATTTCAGAAAGATTTGGTGTGATATCCCATCTTTGTAATCTGCTAATGTAGGACATGGGCATCATTTTTTCCTTTGTTTTTTTCCAGTGAATTTGATAAACCAAAAATGGTTGACATGGATGAAAGATCATGGAGTGAAGAGGAGCAACTTGATACGGAGAGTTGTTGCTCAGAGTCAGGGAGTGTCACTGATGGACCAATCTCTAACATGATCGATGGAGTTAATGGGGTGCTTAAGCTGAATGAGGAAGGCGATGAGTATATCATACTGAAGCATCAGTTCTATTTGAGCATTGGCACTCTTTCACAGCAGTGCACGGTTGTTAATGCTTATCGGAGTCTCCATTCTTCTCCGACAAAGAAAGCTCAGGTTGAAAGTTTCAGGATCTTCAAGGAGGCCATGGAAGCTAGGGGGATGCAAATGTTGTTCATTCCTGGTTATGGAGCATCGAAGGATGAGGTTGATCGAATCATGAAGGATGGCTTTCGTGTATATGGATTGCTTGAGAATGCTGGAATCTATGGCTTTGGTCTGCATCTTTGTCCGGAACTTTCTGCTCGCAAAAGGTATTCAAAATTTTCATTTGTTCGTTAAATTTTTTTAACATGTATACTGTTTTTGAGGTATTTTGTAGTAGCATTTCATTACAGTTAGGTTCAGTAGATGGTTGCCATAATTTTTATTAGGTTAATTTCATCACAGTACATGAGTAGTACTTGTTTCTGCATACAGTATAATATAAGTATCCGATTATAGACATATTAATGTATAAAACATATACTTGAATTCTCTTTATTCCTCGAATTCTAACAAATACAATTTTACAGACTTTTAGTATTTACGTTAACTTAATGTTCATGCTAAATGGTTTACAGCCTTATTTCCGCACCAATTAGTGAAGATGGAGATTTTGATCTGTCGTGTCATCTTGGGAAGCACAGAGACGATACTTCCCGGCTCAAGACAATCAGGTCCAAGATCTAGAGATTTTGATTTTGGTGTAAATAACCAGCAAGCTCCTTCAAAGTATATTGTCTGGTATCCTGATGTCAAGACACATATACTGCCTCTTTATGCGGTTACTGTCAAAATGGATCTGAGTTCAGGGGGTATATATATCTAATATTTACTATTATGCTAATGAATTAGTCAGATAGCTTATGCTGGTGTTTAATGTTTTTTTCCTGTTCATTTAATTAGGGCTGCAGAGAGAACTAGATGCCACATTTGAATTTCATTCTAATAAGAAACTTATTGGAGCCCAATCTAAGATAACTCTATAGAAAAAATATCAATTAAAGCTGATCCATATTTGTAAAGACAAATCTAAATCTTTTTAGTTATAGTATCATGGTTTTCCTCCTTTGGTCTACAATTGATTTTATCAATGATAGAACTGTTGTTTTAAGAATATGATTCTTTGGTTCTTTGCCTTCTCAAAATTCTTGCTCTATACTATCTTCACAAATTTTTAGAATGTTGCAATTTACTTTGATTCAATAAATTTCATAGACATGTGATCAGAAAATCTCACGCTTCTAATAGGTATAAGTAGCTTACCGCTCGAAAGAAATTTAGAACTATTAAAAGCTCAAAATATCCAATGATAAAATGAGATATTTATATGTTGCATGACTATTAATTGTTTTGAGGAGATAGAAATAAGGACTAAAGAAAAAAATTGATGCTACTATTTTAGTAACCTTTATACTAGATGATTATGATTAAATAGGTCGTCTACTATCTGTATATAGGTAGCATTGGTTGATTGAAACTCAATGTTGTATATCAAATAAAATTCTTTTATAAAACTATTCATTATTTTCTATTGTTAAGGATACAAACAATCTATTATCAAACATTTGATACATAAAATATAATTTCATTATTCAATCCTTTTGAATTTTTAAATTCTATACATATGTTTGATACATGGTTTAAATTAAATAAATCTTAATAAAATGAATCAATAATAAATTAAAAATTTACCATGTGCATTGCACGTGCAATCCAACTAGTATTATTATAAAAGCGGATTGTCATGTTAATATATTTCTTTTCAAAATGCCCTCCGACACATTAATCCTTACATACATCAGACATACAAATACTTAATTTTTTATAGCCTCACATTGACTATACATCCATCCATTCATATATATATGATGACACATGCATACTCAATTTTTCATAACCTCCATATTTATGACCATCAAATTTTCATTTAACCACCCACTTATAGCATTCATCCACTAACTATTGACACCAAATATAACTTTATTCACACTAAAAATGAAAAATGTTACAACCATTCATTTCTCACCAATCGCTATAAATAACAATAAAATCTTATCAAATTTCACCAACGGAGGGTGACAGGGGCGTGGGGGAGGCCAACGGGGAGGGGAGCTGGGCAAGAGAGAGAATGAGAGAGATGAAGAGGAGAGAGAGATAGAGTACATATATATATAGGATTATGTTAGGGTTAGGGTTAGGGATAATTAAACAAAAAATAATCAAAATAAATAATTTTGGGTACTTAAAAATTAAACTAATAACAAAATAATTATCTACAAAAAAACATATCAGTTGTATTAATATAACCGTTGATACCCAACTAAAGAAATAATACTATAAATTATATAATTAAACAAGAATAATTAATAAAACATATAATTACTTATTTTAAAAATCAAATAATTATGAAATAATTATCTACGTGATAAAACGTACCAGTTGTGCTAATATGATAGATCATATGCAATAGTAGAAATAATACAACAAATTATATAATAATACATAAATCATAATAAACGAATAATACGTAATAGTAACAATAATACAACGTATTATTTAAAATAATACATAATAGTACCGATAACACAATAGATTAATTCTAAAAAAGTTTACTGCACAAAATAAATTTATAAATATTAAAATCATTTAAATAAATATAAAATTTGGACTTTTAAATCATAGAAAATTCTAGAAGGCCGAGAAAAATACAAATACTCTTCTAAAAATAATAATTAAATATTTTAAAATACTAAAATTTTTTAACTAGTATTAAATTTTTCGGTCATTACGGCTACACTTAACATTGTATAGGTGGAATTCCACCTATGGTCAACATCTTTTGGAATCAGTCTGGATTTTATATTTTTTCATTTATAGAATTTTTTCCATATTCTAATTCTTTGTTCAAAAGTATTTTGCATATAAGTTACCGTCCTAACATTTTCTATCATGGGTTTAATTTCAGTAAATACACTTTGAATAATTAAATTTAAAATATAACAGATACATCTAATATGAAAAAGATCACCATGACATGGTAATGATAGAGATTGTTTCATAAAACCAATAGCTATATTATTATTACTTGCATTATCTAGTGAAAGAGAAAATTTTCTAAAATTTCTAATTTCAAAAGTTCTTCAATTATTAAATTTGTAACATTAATACCAGTATATGACTCTTCAATTGCAATTAAGAAAATAACTCTTTTAAATATTTACCAATTTTTATTAATCTAGTGTGTTGTGATACATAAATAACTAGTTTGTACTTTAGATGTCCAAATATCAGAAGTTAAAAAAATTTACAGTTTAAACTTTAAAAATAAAAAATTATTTTTCCTTATTCCTCCTGATAATGTTTTAAAATATCACATTTATAAGTTTGACGAGAATTTTTTTTAAATGCAGGGTAAAAACCATGTGTAAATAAATCTTTAAATTCATCATCTTTTACTAATTTAAAAGGAAGATTTTTAAGAATGATAAACTTGATGACGCATTTCCTGGCATGAGCTGCGTCATAATTACAAATACCGAGACTACTAGAAGATGAGGATTGCGAGATAATAGATTGTTGGATATCACCTTGAGGTATCTGGCCTTTGTTGTGTTTATCTAAATAACATTTGAGGTGGTTAATGTTGCTCTTATGATGAGCTTGGAAAATCTTGCCGCACAACGCACACTTAGCCTTCTAGGTGAGGATCCTACCGTGTTCATCCTTGGTGATGTCTATCTTCTCGAAAAAATTTCACACATCGGATCTCGGCCTTTTAGGAGCTCTTGGTGTAGAATCGTCGCCACCGGATTCGGGATCAATATTCGTAGGATCGGTAGGAGTACATGTAGCAGGAGGACTGATTTCGGGAGATAGGTTTTGCTCTTCATAATCAGATTCGGAAGCCGTTGATTGAAGAATTAGAGAGGTAAAGCGATTATTAGAGAGGTAAAGCGATTATTAGAGAGTATAAGAGTGTATAAGAGAATATTAGAGAGAAGTAGATGAGTTTTGGATAAGGAAAATAAGTAAAAAACCTCCTCTATTTATAGAGGCAGCTCCCCTAGACAAATGACCAAAATACCCAAATTTTTATCCTTTTTTGACCATTTTGGGGGCAAAACGACTAAAATGACCGTTATCACCGGGCCGAGCCGGGCGCCCGGGCCGGGCCGACCCAGCCAAAAAACAGCCTGTTTTAGGTCCAGGCTCGACAGTTTGTCCACAACAGAGCATTATTATGTAACTGTTGCATCTCGGGTCGGCCTGGATACTTAGCCCGGTCATTTTATGACCAGGCCGGACCGGGCCTGGGCCAGGCACCGCCGAGGCGGCCCATACCCGGGCTCAAAACCCGATCTGGCTCGGGTTTCCGGGTCAAACCCTGGCCCAGCCCGGCGGGCCAAATGGGCATCCCTAACTATCACTAAATAGTTCAAACCAAGAAAAAAGGAATATAATTATTAAATGAGGAAGAACAAATATGCGTTTATGAAGAAATTTAAGACATTTTAACGCTGGTACACATTTCCAATTTGCATATCACTTATACTATAAGCTCAAACAATTATTTTGTTTATTTATGAAGTGTGTCTCATCCTCTTATTCTTTAATATTTATTTATTTTAAATATATATCATCCAAAAATAGCATTTGCTTTAAATTGTTATACACTTTGTATCATTTTTATAAATAAAAAGTTGTTGATTTCCAGAAACTTGTGCAAAAAAAAAATCTTTAACATGATTGAAATGACCAAATACTAAAAAAGTCAGTAAAACTTATTTCCATCCAATATTGGTTAAAATTTGAATTTTGAAATTTCCTTTAATTTGTAGAAAAGTTCTATATAATTTAAATGTATTGTGATCCTTTAGTGTTAAAAATTCATGGAACCTCTCTTTTTCTTTCTTGAATATAGAAAAGTTCTATATTTTAAATGTATTGTGATCCTTTAGTTTAAAAAAAATCGTGGAACCTTTCTTTTTCTTTCTTGAATATTTCGGATGACACCTTTGAGTTAAAAGAGACGACATGTATGACTATGTGCAACACATGTACACTATATTAGTTTCATAAAAGGCCTAATATGGTGCAGTCGCATGTCTATATTGTTGATCTTAATCAATCTAAAACATACAATATCTAATCGTGATTGATTCATAGAGATTAATTATAACAAGAGCGAAAGCAATACCTGAATGTATGAAGATTTGCCCGGATCTAAATTAGGGTTTGATCTTCCAATCTTGAGGGTCTCTCCTTATTTTCTCTTTAGATAGGGATTAAGATAATAGAGAACGTAAACTCATATTAGGGACCATAACCCCTTATTTATAGATATTATACTTTTATAATTTGGCCCATCATCAAATTATAATTACAACCTAGTATCTACACAATTAGCCCATGATTAAATTAAATACCCATTGACCCAAATTAACTAATTGATCACTTTATGCAGGTCAACCTTAAAGATAGTATTACACACTAATATAATATATGTGCCCATAATCAGATTTAATCTAACAATCTCCCACTGGGCATCATATGTTTTCTTAAAGTGTGTATAAGTATAACCTTATGAGCTCAAAAATTACTATCACAAATAAGGGTATTTTCAAACAATCTCGTCCATTGACTATATCTATATAGGATCAAAGCGGTTTTTATCACATTTATCGTGAACAAACCCACTAATGGTTACATATATCAATACAATAAAATGATATAGATCAATCATGGATGTGTAGCATGAAAATTACATGCAATGTGATCTGTACATGTCTATTTTTAACTGATCCTACTTTAAACTTTAGTGAGATCAATACCAAACATAATGTAGCAGAGTGTATAAACTGAATACTTTATTCTGATTAGACAATACAACCAAACATAAAGCACTAAAAATTTACAAACTCTCACTAAATCATGATATCCTCAAATAATACAATACTCATATGAGCAATGTGCTCATGAAAGACCT